TATGCAACAACTTTCCAGTGATTAAATTTAATTCATCATAACAATTCACTTAGCAGTTGCTTAGTTTGTTTACTCAATACCCATACACAAGGTAGGGGAACAAAAAATGCATTTCAACTAATCAGTTATATTCAGCAATAATCAGTAGTGCCCCTACTACACATGAACCCCTGACCCTTAGGCCTTGATATTTGATTAATACCAAGGAGCAAATTTCAAACCATTCATTCATTTTCAGTATATAAGTACACACCCCCATATTACCCCTGACCCTGGGGCCTTGAAATTCACAATTCTGGAAGATTAGGGCCCTTGTAGATAATAACTATATAGGTACTTCATCTGCTTAATACCCTAGAGCAGAGAAGAAAATTTTTAAAGATTTAATGAATTTTCACTATATAATCTATAGAGCCCCGCCCTAACACCAAAACCCGACCCTGGGGCCATAAAATTCATAATTTTGGTAGAGGCACTCTTGCTCATCATAATTATGCACTTAGTTAGTTTATTTAATACCCAGGAGCAATGAAGAAGATTTTCAAAGAATTCCTGTATTTTCACTATATAATCAATAGAGCCCCACCCTAACCCAGAACCCCTGACCCTGGGGCCATAAAATTCACAATTTTGGTTGAGGCACTCTTGTTCATCATAACTATGCACTTAGTTAGTTTATTTAATACCCAGGAGCACAGAAGAAGATTTTGAAAGAATTCGTGTATTTTAACTACATAATCTATCGAGCCCCCCCCCCCCCCCCAGCACTAGAACCCCTGACCCTGGGGCCATAAAATTCACAATTTTGGTAGAGGCACTCTTGCTCATTATAACTATGCACTTAGTTTATTTAATACCCAGGTGCAGAGAAGATTTTCAAAGAATTCATGTATTTTCACTATATAATCAATAGAGCCCCCCCCCCTAATACCAGAACCCCTTATCCTGGGGCCATAAAATTCACAATATTGGTAGAGGCACTCTTGCTCACCATAACTAGGCACTTAGTTAGCTTATTTAATACCCAGGAGCAGAGAAGAAGATTTTCAAAGAATTCATGTATTTTCAATATATAATCAATAGAGCCCCGCCCTAACACCAGAACCCCTGACCCTGGGGCCATAAAATTCACAATTTTGGTAGAGGCACTCTTGCTCATCATAATTATATACTTAGTTAGTTTATTTAATACCCAGGAGCAGAGAAGAAGATTTTCAAAGAATTCATGTATTTTCACTATATAATCAATAGAGCCCCACCCTAACACCAGAACCCCTGACCCTGGGGCCATAAAATTCACAATTTTGGTAGAGGCACTCTTGCTCATCATAACTATGTACTTAGTTAGTTTATTTAATACCCAGGAGCAGAGAAGAAGATTTTCAAAGAATTCATGTATTTTCACTATATAATCAATAGAGCCCCACCCTAACACCAGAACCCCTGACCCTGGGGCCATAAAATTCACAATTTTGGTAGAGGCACTCTTGCTCATCATAACTATGTACTTAGTTAGTTTATTTAATACCCAGGAGCAGAGAAGAAGATTTTCAAAGAAATAATGCATTTTCACTACCTACTTATTTAGCCCCGCCCTAGCACTAGAACCCCTGACCCCAGGGCCATGAATTTCACAATTTTGGTAGAGGACTCATTGCTGATTACAATCATGCAACCAGTTTGACTGCTTGATGCCCAGGAGTAAAGAAGAAGATTTTTAAAGATTGCATTAATTTTAGTGGTTTTGGCCCCACCCCTCAGGCCCCTGGGGGGCAGGGATCATGAAATTCACAATTTTTGTTCCCCTTCACCCATAGATGCTTTGTGGCAAATTTGGTTGAAATTGGTTCAGTGGTTGCAGAGAAGAAGCTGAAAATGTTCAAATGTTAACGCACAACGCACGACGCACGACGCACGACGCACGACGACGGACGAAAACGGATAGCAATAGGTCACCTGAGTTTACTCAGGTGACCTAACAATTTGAAATCTACACTACCCCAGTATGCTTCCATATAAGTTTCAGCTTTGATTTTCAGATTTTTTCTATATATTTCTATGTAGAACATTAAACCCACATTGTGGCCCCGCCCAACCCCCGGGGGTCATGATTTGAACAATTTAGAATCTACACTACCCCAGGATGCTTCCAAATAAGTTTCAGCTTCTCTGGCTCAGTGGTTCTTAAGAAGAAGATTTTCAAAGATTTTTCCTATATATTTCTATGTAAAACTTTGATTCCCCATTGTGGCCCCGCCCTACCCCCGGGGGTCATGATTTGAACAATTTAGAATCTACACTACCCTAGAATGCTTCCACATACGTTTCAGCTTTTTTGACCCAGTGGTTCTTGAGAAGAAGATTTTAAAAGATTTTTCCTTTATAATTCTATGTAAAACATTGATTCCACATTGTGGCCCCGCCCAACCCCCGGGGGTCATGATTTGAACAATTTAGAATCTACACTACCCCAGGATGCTTCCAAATAAGGTTCAGCTTCTCTGGCTCAGTGGTTCTTGAGAAGAAGATTTTCAAAGATTTTTTCTATATATTTCTATGTAAAACTTTGATTCCCAATTGTGGCCCCGCCCTACCCCTGGGGGTCATGATTTGAACAATTTAGAATCTACACTACCCAAGGATGCTTCCACATAAGTTTCAGCTTTTCTGGCCCAGTTGTTCTTGAGAAGAAGATTTTCAAAGATTTTTCCTTTATATTTCTATGTAAAACTTTGATTCCCCATTGTGGCCCCGCCCTATCCCCGGGGGTCATGATTTGAACAATTTAGAATCTACACTACTCCAGGATGCTTTCACATAAGTTTCAGCTTTACTGGCCCAGTGGTTCTTGTGAAGAAGATTTTTTAATAACCCAACCCTATTTTTTTTTTTTTGAATATCTCCCCTTGCGAGGGGATATGTCCCTTCATTTTAACAAGAGGCCCATGGGCCTTATAGGTCACCTGAGCATTATGCAACAACTTTCCAGTGATTGAATTTGATTCATGTTTTAAGCAAGATGCTATGGCATTCACAATTTTGAAAGAGGCACCATTGATCATCATAACAATACACTTAGCAGTTGCTTAGTTTGTTTACTTAATACCCATACGCAGGGTAAGGGAACACAAAATGCATTTCAACTAATCAGTAATATTCAGCAATAATCAGTAGTGCCCCTACCATACATGAACCCCTGACCCTAAGGCCTTGATATTTGATTAATACCAAGGAGCAGATTTCAAACCATTCATTCATTTTCAGTATATAAGTACAACCCCCACCCCTCTATGGTACCCCTGACCCTGGGGCCTTGAAATTCACAATTGTGGAAGATATGGGCCCTTGTCCATCATAACTATATTGGTAGTTCATCTGCTGAATACCCTGGAGCAGAGAAGAAAATTTTCAAAGATTTAATGTATTTTCACTATATAATCAATAGAGCCCCGCCCTAACACCAGAACCCCTAACCCTGGGGCCATAAAATTCACAATTTTGGTAGAGGCACTCTTGCTCATCATAACTATGTACTTAGTTAGTTTATTTAATACCCAGGAGCAGAGAAGAAGATTTTCAAAGAATTCATGTATTTTCACTATATAATCAATAGAGCCCCGCCCTAACACCAGAACCCCTGACTCTGGGGCCATAAAATTCACAATTTTGGTAGAGGCACTCTTGCTCATTATAACTATGTACTTAGTTAGTTTATTTAATACCCAGGAGCAGAGAAGAAGATTTTTAAAGAATTCATGTATTTTCACTATATAATCAATAGAGCCCCGCCCTAACACCAGAACCCCTGATCCTGGGGCCATAAAATTCACAATTATGGTAGAGGCACTCTTGCTCATCATAACTATGTACTTAGTTAGTTTATTTAATACCCAGGAGCAGAGAAGAAGATTTTTAAAGAATTCATGTATTTTCACTATATAATCAATAGAGCCCCGCCCTAACACCAGAACCCCTGACCCTGGGGCCATAAAATTCACAATTATGGTAGAGGCACTCTTGCTCATCATAACTATGTACTTAGTTAGTTTATTTAATACCCAGGAGCAGAGAAGAAGATTTTCAAAGAATTCATGTATTTTCACTATATAATCAATAGAGCCCCGCCCTAACACCAGAACCCCTGACCCTGGGGCCATAAAATTCACAATTTTGGTAGAGGCACTCTTGTTTATCTTAACTATGTACTTAGTTGGTTTATTTAATACCCAGGAGCAGAGAAGAAGATTTACAAAGAAATAATGCATTTTCACTACCTACTTATTTAGCCCCGCCCTAGCACTAGAACCCCTGACCCCAGGGCCATGAATTTCACAATTTTGGTAGAGGACTCATTGCCGATTACAATCATGCAAACAGTTTGACTGCTTGATGTCCAGGAGTAAAGAAGAAGATTTTTAAAGATTGCACTAATTTTAGTGGTTTTGGCCCCACCCCACAGGCCCCAGGGGGCAGGGATCATGAAATTCACAATTTTTGTTCCCTTTCACCCATAGATGCTTTATGCCAAATTTGGTTGAAATTGGTTCAGTGGTTGTAGAGAAGAAGCTGAAAATGTTCAAATGTTAACGCACAACGCACGACGCACGACGACGGACAAAAACAGATAGCAATAGGTCACCTGAGTTTACTCAGGTGACCTAACAATTTAAATTCCCCTTCACCCAAGGATGCTTTGTACCAAGTTTGGTCGAAATTGGCCCAGTGGTTCTTGAGAAGAAGTCGAAAATGTGAAAAGTTTACAGACGGACGGACGGACAGAATGTGATCAGAAAAGCTCACTTGAGCCTTCGGCTCAGGTGAGCTAAAAATGAAAATGTAATCACTAATGTAATCCAAGATATAGATCTATCTACAAACAAATAGCAAGATGTCCATCTAATTATCTCATATGACCTAAAAAAAATAATATATATATACTATATACCGAATCTAAAAAAAACTTTCACAATTTTGAGAGAAAAAAAAATAAAACAACAATATTCGTTATTTCATAAAGTTTATTACATATAAGTTTGTGAACAATCACATTCTTTTTCTACATGAGAAATACCTTTCACCACCTACAGGCAGAATGGAGATAAATTCATAAATTAATAATGATTATCACAGACAAACAAATAGCACAAACATCATTAATGCCTTCCTATGAGTGGTGTAATGATACATGTAATATCATCTTAAATGCCAGTTTTCACAAACCTCTGTAATGATAACATTTATTAAATATTTCACAATTTTGTTTGTTCAGATTGAAGAAATTGAATCGGATTTAGAAAATAACAAATCATGAATTGATCAGCAATGACATCTGGGTATCTGACAAGACAGTAACTGAAACTGTCACTTCAAGAACTACAAAACAATCAATGTCACTTCAGCATAAATAATTTCAGATACTGCCATTACCAAGCAATTATGAATGAAAGTTGAGCAACATGATACAACTTTCTAATAAAGATTCAAGTCAATCAATGACTAATGATTGAACAACATGTACATGGCATTTATACTTTCAACCACTGAATACATGTAACTATATGAAATTTAACATCAACATAAAGATTGTGGAGTCTTAATTTATCATGTACATCACAATGAAACACATGTATCATTTTAGACTAGAATCAGACCACTTCATATACAACATTATTCCAATACATGTAGCACTATCTTCATCAAGTTATTCATATTTGCATACACAAAACAAAATCCTGCATAAGGTATACCACAAACCAAAGTCTATCATAATCTTATCAAAATGCAACTAGCGAATTCACTATCTGAATTCAAACTACATTGTGTTTAGAAATCTTTCAAATGTTTTCTGTCACAGCAATTGCCAATATCCATTTGTATTACCCCTGGTAAATACATATAAACTCAAGAGAAATTTTCATGTGAGATTCAAAAGTTCAAAGATAATCAAAGCAAAGTAAAGCAATACATGTGACAGCTTTGGGACATTCATCCAACATAGCAATTAATTTGTTCATAACATGCACTGCAGACCCTGATGTCCAATTTGTTTATTGTTTTACACAAAATTTTTAATTAAAGGGAAAGCAAATGTGTCTGTGTGTGTGTGTTCGTGTGAATTTGATGTTGTTGTTTTTTTTATTGCAAGACTGCAATTTGCTATGGAAGACCATAATTAGCATACAAATGAAACTACAAAGCATAAATAAATAAATACTTTGTACAGATGTGTTGCAAATTAAAAACAAAAATGTCAATTAATACAAAAATTATTCAGCTTCACATTTACTTCATTCTAGAAATCTGATCTTTGAAAAAAAAAAATGGCTGTCTGCAAAATAAATAATACATCGTACAAGGGAAGAAATAAGGTGTTTGACGTAACTCCTTGTGCAATGAAACTTTTGGAACAGGAGAATGAAATAAAATATGGATATATAATTATAAATAAGCATGGCAACAAAATCATTACACTTAATTATTCAGGATGACAATTTTAAGTATCCACTTTTATTTCATGACAAAATGTATGAACCGATTCCATAGCACTGGCTCCAAAACTCCGAAAATTCTGCCCCAGAAGCAAATTCCAAGACTTGATCACATGATCAATTATTTATTGCCCAATCACAACATTGCACTGAAATATCAACACCCTCCAAACATTTCTTGAGAGGCGTAAGTCATGTAAAGGAAGCCATCATCATCTTTGTCATCTCTATACACTTCAGCCAGAGTCATTGACATGCTTGAAATACTTTTGTTGTTCACTATGAGATAAAATGCTTGATTTGAATTCAGTGACATTCGATTCCTGAAAAAACAAAATATCCATTCTGAAACAGACAAAATGAACAGTCATGTCCTTCTATTTTTATTCAACAGGCATTACAGAATACACATGTATATAGATGTACATGTATATATTATTGATTCAATGCTTCACAGTTCATCATTTTGAACATGGTGTAGTCAAGATTTAACTGACTATTGTGTTCAACATCATTACAAATTTTCCTTCCAAATAAGGAATGTTATAAACTCCGGGTTTTTATAAAATATTTTTTTTTTTAGTCAAAAAAAAAGTTAATTTTATTTTTGTGTAATCAGACATGTACCCTACCTAATGATAGAGGCAAATTGTGACATGGAGAGCTCTTGAGGCACCAGAAATTTAGTTTTATCCAGCATTGGCAGATGCTGCTCCTTGTAATATCTCTCTACAATCACCTACAAATACAATGTCAATAAACTCCATACAGAGACGTCATTATTACAGTGACTTGGATAACTGCGCCATGTCCCTAGACAGATTAAAACAAGCTAAATCCAGTACAGTGTAGACAGGTCTAAGATGATTACAGCTGGCTGGTGCCTGTCGTGGTTGAATTTTTTAATGGACAATGACAGTTTTGTTACCGGGTACAACTGGTACTAAATGAATATCAGACACAAGCCTTTTTATGCAAATTGTTACAGTGAAAGTATTAAAGAAAACAATTACAAGTACATGACTTTATAACAAGATTACTGAAAAGGATTGCCAGATGCAGTTGTGTTATCAATAAAAGCAGACCAATTTATTTAAACCAATAAAAAAGATATAACTGTCAAAATCAAAAACACTAAACCTCAATAACGTACCGGTACTTTTGTAGGGAACTTTGATCTTATGCCCACTACCTCTTCCTTCCGCACAGCTGAAAATAAAAATTATCCGTAAATGAACTTTGATGAGACAAAAGAGTAAATTAATTTACAATCAATTTCTATATTAAGGTAAAAAAAAATTCCCTACATGTACATAATTAAAAGAAAAAAACATTTTTCTTCTTTCTTGCTTCAACACAGCTGATCAAAACAGCACTTAATTGTCAGAGGTGTAGGTTACTGAAAGAGAGAGAAAATTAAATTTCACTTCTTTCAGATTTCTTGACATTCCAGAGTCTGTGATCCTAACACACTGGACCTACTGGATGCCTCCACAGACACCTTACCACTATAACTGTGTACACATCTTTCTTTTTTAACTTATGTCTATTATTTACATAAAATATATCAACAAGTAATTTATTCACAAACCCTGGTCTCCCACGCCTTACGGAAATGGAAAATTTGTCCAATAATACATATTAAATGTATACAACATTCTAAATGTATAAAAATAAATGAACTTTTTATACATGTATGTACTAGCTACTACAAGGAAAACAGACAATTTTTTTTTTTATCATTTTTTTTTTATATGTTAGAAAAATTGATAAAAGTTTTACTTTAAATGTGAAATTAATTTGTTAAATTAAAGATACCCATGCATATATAAATTATTCAGCTCAGAGGGTAGCATTCTTTGAATTTATTAAGACGCACATGGTATATGACTAATCACAAACATGTATGATATTGAATCATTGAACTTCAAAGTGTTTTATGCCGTTAATAAAGCGGGTATCATTTATTGTACACTAGCTGATTTAAAGAATAATGACCTTACAGAACATGACCTCATAAATTAATGTGTCAAAATGTAAACATCCCTTACAAAATGTCATCAGGACACTGGCCCCTCACTATCTATAGACCACTTGACAAAGAGAAACGGAATGTTAGCTCATTACGGATTAAATAACAATCAGAGTCCATACAAAGAAGCTCTCTACTAAGCCTATATACATGTTCTCTAAAGTACATTCATATAATTCCCTGTGTTGTGCAGTCTCTAACTTTGAACATTTTCAAGTCCAATTTAACAAGTATTAACCGAATAACGTAATTATATGTTAAGAGGGCACTTCAATGTTCTAAGTGATTTAATAAAAAGAAAAAAAAATTCTTTAAGAAAATAAACATAAATTAAAATATAACACTACCATCATGAAATTTAAAAAAAATGAGCGATCCCTACACTATTAATTCACTACTGATACAGAAATCATTCTGGATTATGAAAGTAAAAATCTGTAGCAGGCACTGTAATTAACTATAAAAGGGCAGTTTCATTACTATATACTGCTAAAATTATCAACTCAAACTTTTACTATGCATCTCAATTCATCTTTCATTACTTGGCTAAACTTGACATAAACTCTAAACATAGGTAATCAGAGATTACAGAGCTCACCTCAACGAATGTTGTCTTTAAGTAAGGCAAAGTCACACAATTCACCAAAAAAAAGTGTACATCCCAAAATGAAAATATTTATGCAATTTTGATATGATACTTTGGAATAGAGCTGTATAAAAACTTCAAACTAGTTCTTTTTCATGCAGCATCTAAAGCAAATTTGAGAGTTTTCATCCCTTGATGCATCATTAGTGCAAGTTTGGTTTACACAATGTTATATATAAGCCTTATAGTTTTTTGGTAATAGACCTGCACCCATAACTTTTACCTGGTCCATTATCTGAAAAATGTATGTCTAATTCAGCATCCGAAGCAAGTCCATTAGTGTGCATCCTAAGATGTATCGTTCATGCAAGTTTGCTCATTATAGGGCTCATAGTTACTTACCTGCAACAAAAACTTTAACCTGCGCACTCAACCGGAAAATGTAGGTCAGATTCAGCATCCGAAGCAAGCCTGGTAGTATGCATCCTTAGATGTACCATCCATGTAAGTTTGGTCATAATAGGGCTCAAAGTATCTTGGAAATGAAAACTGCACCTAAAACTTTCACCTGTTCAGTCAACCGGAAAATGTGGGTCAGATTCAGCATCCGAAGCAAGCCTGATAGTATGCATCCTTAGATGTACCATCCATGTAAGTTTGGTCATAATAGGGCTCAAAGTATCTTGGAAATGAAAACTGCACCTAAAACTTTCACCTGTTCACTCAACTGGAAAATGTGGGTCAGATTCAGCATTTGAAGCAAGCCTGGTAGTATGCATCCAAAGATGTATCAAACCGGCAAGTTTGGTCACTATAGTGCTCATAGTATCTTGGAAATGAGACCTGCACCAAAAACATTAACCTGTTCACTCAACCGGAAAATGTAGGTCAGATTCAGCATCTGAATCAAGCCTGGTAGTATGTGTCCTTAGATGTATCATCCATGCAAGTTTGTTCATTATAGTGCTCATTACCGTCTTCCAAAATGGAAGACGGTATTGTATAGTTGAAGTTTTTTACAGTCTTCGGACTATGCACTTCCTCTCTTTTGTGATTGGTAGAAAATGCATGATGAGAAAATTTTCAATTATTTCATTGGTTGAAATGCTGTTCAAGGCAAGGGAGATAACTTTCTGATGATCTAATTTTCGTACGACTTAACAATTTTGCAAGATTTTCAATCTTAAAAAAAAATGACAAAACGAACAACAAAATCAGCAGTAATTAATTCCTAATAACATGATTTTTTGTATAGCAAAAAATAAAAAGATCTCTTTAACTTCATTATAAATAAAATTTGATTTTTATTGCTTGCAGGCTTTACAATTTGTTATTATTCTTTTCCCCTTTCTTGTTTGAAGAAGGAAATGGAATCAGCCGAGGTTTGCCGAAAGCTCTCGGCGAGTCAAAGTTTACGGAGATGACCGAGCGACAACCGTGGTAGGGCTAATGCCAGTAAAAAGCTAATGTAGAAATACAAAATCAAGAAATTCAAAAGAATTATACGGCCTGATAGGTGTAGATCAGTTTACAGTTTAAGTTTGTTGCTAAAGACGGGAAGCTTTTTAAAAAAGCTCTACTTGTAGTTACTTGGAAATGAGACCTGCACCAAAAACTTTAACCTGTTCACTCAACCAGAAAATGTAGGTCAGATTCAGCATCCGAAGCAAGCCTGGTAGTGTGCATCCTTAGATGTATCATCCATGAAAGTCTGGTCAACATAGGGCTTATAGTTACCGGGTACTTGTAAATGAGACCTGAACCAAAAACCTTCACCTGTTCACTCAACCGGAAAATGTAGGTCAGATTCAGCATCCGAATCAAACCCAGTAGTGTACATCCCTAGATGTATCATCCATGCAAGTTTGGTTAACATAGGGCTTATTGTTCCTTGGAAATGACACCAACACCAAGAACTGCACCAAAAATGTTAACCTGCTCCAAAAACCTTAACCTGGTCATTCCTTTGCTGAAATTGCAGCATCTGAAACTTTGACTGGTACAATGAAACACACTAGAGGCATCTTCCATGCATGTCTAATCAATATAGGACATAGAAGTACTTTAAAAGAAAACTGCTCCAAAAAACTTAACCTGGGACGCCGACACCGACGCCGACGCCGACGGGGACGCCGAGGGTATTACATAAGCTCCCCCAACTTCGTTGAGGTGAGCTAAAAACAAGAAAACCTACCCATTTTTTCTATTTACAGAGTTTCCGAAAACCAAATATTTCTATCAGTCATTCGGACTGATGACTTAATGTGTTCTACCAGTCCGAAGCATATTCTATCAGTCCGAATAAATTTTAGAATATACAGTGTATATTTCTTATCAGATGTATGTTTTAAATAAAATGGCATTGAATATGTAAAAAAAATTCTATGGCTCACCAACACTGATTTTGATACCAGGGTTGTGCAACTTAAAAATATTTCAAGCATGGCACCAGCCCACACAGGCTTGTGGCAGCTTATCAGCCCCAAGTAAATGTTGGGGGAAGGAAACAACTAATTATATAAATAAAAAGTTCATTCTTCAAAAAGAAAATTTCTTTAGGTTTCTAGAATTATTTTTTAAATTAAAAGTTTAATTCTCACTTGTAAAATTGAATCATATATAAATAGCAGTTATGATAGAAATTCAAAATAAAAATAAATTTTTAAATTATCTTTACGTTTTCTCAATGGGCATTGCACTTCATGACCTACATACTGCATGTGTTTACCATTAACAGAGGAATGGAGGAAATTCGAATTAGGAAAAAACGATCGTTTTTGGAAGTAAATAAGTCAGGTAGAACTGCAAAATGGATAAGATTATGGATATTTACGAAGATTAGGAGCTTGCTGCATTGAAAATTTTCATTTATGAAGGCATTGCAATAGATCAGAGTACAATAGATTAATCAGGACATTTGCCCTCACCACAATCTGACAATCGGTCACACGGACCGATACTACTGCGAATTTCATCGGACATTTCAATTTTCTATCGGTTTTGCCGGTAGGACCGATAGTTTTCGGAAACTCTGATTTATAATAGTCAAGAAACAAATTTGTAAAGGTACATCTAGCAAAAAAAGCTCATATCATATATACAATAATGTAAATATAAAGAACAACCAATATATCAAATCTCTGGTTTGATACAGTCTGAGATATTAAAGTATATTATTTAAGTATTGTGAACGACAGTTACTGGTACCAACTTAACATTTCAGATTAATATGGTATAAGCATCAGGGTACACTACTACATTACCCTTTTTTGACTTCACTGTGACAAAAAAGGGGGCACCCTTTTTTTGTTGCAGTGAAATTAAAAAAGGGTAATGTTGTAATGTATGAATAAAATTTGGAACTGAAGAATGTTCATTGTTGAAACCTATGCCGCCCCCCTTCAGCTATGATTGTACATGTACTACCATTTCTAATCTTTTTGAAAGTCTTTAATATGTCCTGCATTTGAGCTACATATAATGAACATCACTTGTGTTGTTACAATAGTTGCTGACAATCAAAAATATCATCACTGAAGGCAATTTTTTTAAAACTACATGTATAATATATTTTTTATACAAACTGGTTTATGTTTTATCATTTAGCATGTTTCTCTATTTTTATTGCAAATGGCAGACAGATTATCTATAACTAAGCATAAACGGATGATTAATTATGTAACAGATTTGAAATGAAATACTTTTTCATTTCATAATATTACAGAATTTCTGAATATTTCATGGTTAACCTTATATAATTTGATCTTTAGATTAAAGTTAAAACTATTAATCATATAATGGATTGTATGCTACTGATTCCGTTTGATAATTGATAGTAAATTTGGTACGATTTTGCAACACTAATCACTTGTGACCTTTTTTTTTTCTGTGCATGTACAGATAAATCAATGGTGATCACTTATTTGTTTTAGATAACTAGGGATAATTCACACTGCATGTATGAGTGTTGTATAGTTGTGTCCTTGCGCCTAACGTACCTTAGGCTTACATTTCTGATTTGTCACATGACATTTTATACCTGAGTCAAGGTCAATATTACGCTAACATACTTAGGACACTTTATTGTTAAGATTATTCTTTCACACGAATTTCACTTTTTTTCTACACATTGACAAAATAAATCAATTTTTTGATGTAGACAAGACCAAGGGTTTGTGGATACTAGTGGTATTGTGTATCTTTAATGATGCCTACTAAATTAAAATAATCAAATACATCTATAGACTGATCATTAATATATCAATTAAACAAGTTATTGATTAATTATAATATAACTCTACATGCAGATCACCTTAACTAATACAAGTACTCTCTTAACAACTTAAAATAGGTTTTTTGACACCAAATCTCATTGGTCATATGCATACACATAGGCCTATATCAGGGACCTATATACTATATCAACTTTACTAGCACGTCTCGTCATGATTTACGCTGTAGTTTTATTATGTATTTTCTTGAGCGTTTTAGAGGGTTTTTTTGGTGCTAGTTCATTTTAATTTATTTTTATTAATTATATATTTACTACAATAAACTGGATATACCAACAGGTGAATTAATTACTTTACGTGCAATAACACGCTATTGATATACGAATATAAATAAACATATCATGTGCCAGATACCTACATATGAACTAATATTACAATTGTCAAACCATGAGACCATTGGATTTCACACAACATACAATAATGCTCAACAGGTGACACATTCAAAAAAAGCTTACCAAAACTTTTCCTCTGTTTAAAAGTTTTATACGTATCTCCATTTTTCTCTGGCATTGTCACCGTTAATACCATTCACATGCAGAGACGATGTCAATGATCAGACCTTATGCGAAGTTAACCACTGTTTGACACTCTGCTCCCTCAGAAATGGCGCAAACAAATGACGTCGACGATATAAATCATTAGTAAGGTAAGAGGTGTTCCGAACATAAATGATGAGGATTTCCCGCGAAAACTCAAATTTAAAGCCCATACAATCATATCTTGAAAAGGGGGAGTGGAGGGGGTGCTTCCCCTCTTCTGACCAAATGCATGAATAAATAAATAAAACATGAATAATTTGGATGATAAGAATTCTTCTGGTTTCTGGTATAATATAATCTTCAGACTTGTCATTCAAATATTAATATTTTTTTAAAACTATATATCTTCAGTTTCTTTTCTATCGTGGCCCTACCCCTCGGGATCATGACTTGAAGTTGAATAATCTAAAATCTAAAACTTTTGACGATGTATCAACATCGTTATATTCATAACATTTCTGTAATTGAAAAAAAAAAGTTTTTAAAAGATTTTTTTCCAACAAAGTTTTGAACACTCTAGCTTACTCCCCTAAATTGTCGCCCACCCAACCTCCGGAGGTCACACTAAAAAAAAATACCTTGTATCTTCACTATGGGATGGAGGTTTAACTTAACTTTTAGCTTTTTGGACCAGTTGTTCCTGAGAAGATTTTTATAAGATGACACGTACTATTCTTCATAGATCTCTCTCCTAAAGAAAGAAACATTTGAACAAATTTGAATTCCTTTTACCTAAAGATGCCTTTCACATGTTTGTTTGAAATAGACCCAGTAGTTCTGGAGAAGAAGTCGAAAATGCAAAAAGTTTACAGATGGACACACAGACAAGAGAAAAAATTTCATCACAAATGATATCATTTGAGATTTTATCTCAGACGAGCTTATATCTAAAATAAATTAGCCCAAAAAGATATCTCCTATGTGCAGACATCCAGGAATTATGCAGGGAGAGAGTAGGAGTGGGGATGGGGTTAGTTTGAGCATATCCAGTACGAACATATATCAGATTTTTTTTCAACTATGAAAAGGTACAATTAGTCTAAACTTCACAAACCTACTAGTATCTTAATTGTGATTATGTGCGTATGTGTTGAAAGGGCGTTGGGGGTCGATTCCTTTCAGATATACTAGTACTAAAGATCCTCTTTCAATTTTATCACGGGTCCATTTTTTTTTGGGGGGGGGGGTCATCTTTTCCTGTATCTGATTTCCCGCTACATCTCAGCAAGACAATGACTGTGTCAAACAAAGATGAAAGTTATTGAAAGCTTTCTTTAGGTCCTTAATGAAAGTATATTCAAGTCTGTAAAAAAAAAAATGGTCCCATGGTCAGAACGGGGACAGAGATTAAAGTGTATCAAATTGTAACTGAATGTGTAGGAAACAACCTTTATAAGCATTAAAAAAAAATCATTTTTGTTCAAATCATTATGCGCGGATGGAGAGGGGGGGTATTTGTAAAGTTTTTAAATTTGTATAGCATATGTAAGGAAAGGACCTTGGACCCACCACTGCCCCCAGGCCCACCCCACCCCGACCACCATTTTCACGGAAATTAGTTTTTTTTTTTAGTTCGAACAACTTTACGTTTTTTACTGGGAGTGTTTGTTGTTGTTTTGTTATATGGGAATATATAGAGAAAAATTATTTCAATAATTTTATTTTCTGAACAACTGCAGGACCACAACATATTATTATGCTAGAATCTCCAGAAAGTTGGGATTTATTTTATTTTTTCAAAATGGCACTAAAAAAGTTGGTCACAATCCACAAAAAGAAATCAAGATATTCAAATAAATCAAAGTTCCTTTCCTTTTAAAACAACTGGCCACAATTTCCTATATGCAGGTACTCACAAGATAGCACAAAGACTATTTGAGATTCAAAGTTTTACATAGAATTATATATCATTTTTACTTTATACGAAACCTTTTCCCGAAGTAATCGGACTGTGTACACTTATTCATACATGTTATGTACATGTATTAATAATCAAGCCGAAGGGAATCGGTTTTCTCAGATTATTGTTGTGGCTAACATTGGGTAAATTTGGGTATCGAATGAGTGTGGAAACCATATCAAATAAAATGAATGTGAGTACGATATTAAACCTTAAAAGTGTGAGGGGTAATATGTCATACAACTCATCAACATACCTGGTATGTTATGATGTCTAAAAATCACAACCCATTCTCGATTTCTTTATTTTACGTAAGATCTATATATTTTTAAGACATCTTCATTGATTTTCCATCAACATGTATACCATATAAAGTCGATAGTTTCATTAACATAGTTTGAGATTTTTATTGTGACCAATTATTCCAAATATTTGTCTACTTTATATTTTTTTATGGTTAGAATTGCTAAATATTAAAAAAATATATTGAAAATTTTTGAACGATTGAAAAATTGGATATAAGGAAAAATAATAAAATTACTGTTTTTTTCCCAAAACTCAGCACTATCAATTTTATTAAAAATAATAAAATTACTGTTTTTTTCCCAAAACTCAGCACTATCAATTTTATTAGATTTATGCCCATATACATAAATGGAATATTGATTGCTAATGATTGGAAAATTTTTAATAGCGTCATAAACTTGTGCAAAAAAATGTTGAAATAACTAGACCAATATAAAATGACAGCACAACCGCGTAATATCTTTGAACATCAAAGAATATATTTGAGGTACGTAATTTCTATTCCCCATATAGAAGTTAGAAACAGCGATAATTATGATTGCAATCAAGACAATCGGAGTTACCGCGCTTAGGCTCAATGCACCCCAGTGCCTTACGAGATCCACCGCCACGAACAATAATGATTCCCCAGTATTTATATCCATTTTGTGGATGAAGAAAACCGGTTTTGATCAACGCCACCTTAATATCTAAAATTATTTAACACATTTAACGAAGGAAGTGTGAAATCAAAGCGGCCTAAAAAGATTATTACTTAACTTTTATACTCCCGTGATCGAAGATTCGAGGATATATAGTTTTTTGCTTTGTCTGTTTGTTTGTTTGCAAAAACTTCAACCTTGTCAATAATATCGATGATTGGAGCTAGGGCTTTCGTAATTTGATGTGTATTCCTTGTGACAAGACCATTCTTTGGATCCCAAAATATTAGACCATTTAATTTGAGCTTGACCTTAATGCTTTAAGGATATCCGATCCTCAGCCAGGAAGGATAACTCCAAAAATACATATTTAATTTGAAATGCATCAAAATGAAGCTTGAAAATGATTTTTTTCATGCAACAATTTTAATTATATTCATCTTTATAAGATTCAAGGTTTTTGGAAGTCTTAGAAAAGGTCTTATAAAAGTTGACATTTGTACCCTATATAAGGAAAAAAAAAATAATACAGTTTTAGAGAAATAAGATTTTCTTGAATCCAGCCTTATATACCAATGATTATTAGCATGATATGAAATAAGAAGTGATTTATGGTGTCTTGCAATGATAGCAAAGGCCTTTTACACTATGTATTATAGAATACATGACGGAAATAGAAGACAAAAAATACCAAATAAGCATAAAAAGCATGACAATTTCTCTGAATGCCTGGATACCTATCGTTTTTTAACCTAAAATATATTTGTTGATCAATTTGCAATTAAAAAATGCAAAGCTAATATTCCTATTCGCTTTTTCTGCAAAAATATTGGAGATTTGATGATTTTCCCTATATAATATGATTAAATTTAATCTTGAACTTTAAAGAAACACTGTGGATAAATTTACATAACTTTGTGGATTCAGAGATACTTTTATGAGTACTTTTGATTACTTAACTGCTAATTTTATAAACCTGAGGATCGGACTACCTTAACCGCTTTTGCAAGTTTTTAACAAAATTCATCCTAGAATATAACGCGTGAAAATTTGTAGCTAGAATTTCAATGCTTTACATGTGTATCCCTTGTGACAAGTCTGTTCTTTGGGTTTTAAAACACTTTTGACCTTGACTTTGGAGTTTTAACCTTGGCCACAGGTTTTAAATGGTATGAGACAGGGCATTTTTAGTTCAATGTGCATTTCTGACAAGACTGTAGGTAACAACAATTTATAGCTTGACCCTCGAGTTTGACACATTTTCTGAATTTGCCGCTTGGTTATGACGTTACGTGACTCAGCAGATGACAGGGTCGCAGAAGCAGGGATCCAGACAAGGACAGGAAGAAAGTGGTCAGCGAAAACATCAGTGGATCAAGCAGAGCGTATGCTATATTCACGAGACATCATTGAAAACACAAGCACTCGGCGACTCGGTGTGGGAATTTTACACTTCCAGCAGTGGTCAAATGCATCAGCATCAGAGAGGCGCACCATGGTTCAGGCTGAAGTAAGGCGCACTGAGGAAGATCAACGGAATGCAAAATCAACAGAAATTCGAAAACAGGGGCCTGAATGAAGTGTGACCTACCGGAGCGGGAATTAACCTGGGCAGAACTTTGGAGGAAGGACCAGTTTAGAATCTCATTCCTGTTGGTGTATGACTTACTCTTATCTCCTTTTAAACTTGCAACATTGGTGGCAAGCCGAAGACTCTAGCTGCAAGCTGTGTGGAAAGAGAGGGACAATGACGCATATCCTTTCGGGATGCCAAGTTGCGCTGACCCAGGGAAGATATAGATGGCGACTTGACAAAGTCCTGCGGGTGTTGGCTGATGTTTTGGAGGTGAAGAGAGAAGAGATCAGCAGACAAGAAACAAAGACAGATAGAATTTGTGAGACAGGGTGAAGCAATGGCTGATACAAGAGCAGCAAGGCCGACATTCGTGAAAAAATTCTTGAAGAGTTGGAAATAGGCATGCATCATTTGGACAATGTGTACATTGTAAGGCAATATTTGTGAGAGAAAAATTTTAACACTGAAAAAAAACCCCGATTTTATCATTATCTCAGTGGGATGCACCAGTTCAGTTGAATGTTGGCTATATCTTTTCTATATTTTTGTGTAATATGTTTTTAAATACAATTTTGGGTTAATTTTTCAATAACTAGTTTTGAATGAATTTAGTTCTTATGTGTTGAATTCATTAACTAGGTAAGGGGACTACGATCATCAGTGGCGGATT